GAACAACTGACCCATGAAACCTAGGTCCTGAAAACTAGATAGGCCAACCACCACCTCAACCCTCGCCCCTAGACAGAGGACCAAGAACAGTAGACCTACCTCAATCCCCTACCCCCTGAAACCTGATGGTAAAGTCTGTACCATATAGAAAAACATACACCCTAACCACTCACCCCTCATCCGTGATCCCTAAGCAGGCCAATAAACACTAACGACTAAAACTTGAAAGTAGAACAGCAACCTGAAACATGAGACTAGCCCCTGAACAAAAAAACTAGGTCATCCCCTTCCCACTGAAACCTAAACCTAAAACCTGAGCACCTAAACCTAAAACCTGAGCACCTAAACCATGAAACTACAAGAAGACGCAACCCCTGGACCGTGAGCCCTGAGGCCAAAATCGAGAAGAAGACTCCTAAGAACTGGACCCTAAACCTCATCTCTATACAGTACCCCATGAGACCTAAAATCTACAACTAACCACTAGCCCCTGGAGAATAGACCATAAGCCTTAAGCCATGCCCCATGAAGGTAGGACCCAACCGTAAAACCTGACAATCTCAAAAGTAACGAACTGACTCCCAAGAAGTCTGAAGCTAATCCTTGAAGAATCAACCGTGAAAATCAAACCCCAACAACCAAGGGCCGAGACACAAAAAAGAATCCCCCAGAGCAGCATGATTAAGCCCTAGAAACTGATCCCTGAACCCTAACCGATAAACCCGGAAAACTCCACCCTGAAACCTAAACCGTCAACCCTCCCGCCTAACAGATGATCGATAACCCCTGACAACTAAACCTTGATACCTAGACCTAAATAATAGACCTAGAAACTAAAAACTAAGAGACTAACCCCTCAACGCAAAACCGAAACACCCCAAATCCGAAACCGTAGCAATAACAACAACACCCCCACACCGAAACCAACCAAAACGGAACCCCTAAACGTAGAACATAAAGCATACCACCTGAACCCTAAACCTGAAGCAAGAACCTACATCATAACCCCTGACACCTAAAAACTAACCCCAAACCCCAAAAACCAGACACAATAACCACTCATCAAAGATTCCTCAACCCTCCTCCCTGAACCATGACCTCCAAACCCTGATCCCAGGAGCGTAGTAGCTAACCAATCGTCCCTGAACTCTGACCCCTGAGACTGAGCCTAAAACATAATCCCAAACCGCTCCCACCTAAAAGTAACCCATAACCACTAATCCCTGAGACCTAAACGCTGACCCCAATCCTTAAAACCTAATCCCAGAAACCTAAACCCTGAACCCTGAAACCTACACCATCACTGCAAAAGGCTAAACCCTGATCCCACACCACTGAACCCTGAAGCTAAACCCTGAAGCGTAAGCTAAAGCTAAACCTTAAACTCTCATCGCTAAAACTGAAACGTAAACCCAGAAACGTAGGACTAGACCCTGAACCCTGAAAACTAACGCATGATCCTTAAACCTGAATCCTCCACCCTAAACCCTAAAACGCAAGTCCTAAGCCCTAACCCATCAGCCCTAAATCCTGAAACCTAAACCGTAATCCCTGAGCCATGAACCCTAAAGATAACCCTAAATCCTAATCCCACAACACGGAACCCTGAAGCTAAGCACTGATCCCTGGACACTAACCGATGAAACCTGAAAACTAAACTCTAAGATAAAACCCTGATACCTGAGCCCTAGCGACTGAACGCTGAACGACACAACATTAAACCCAAACCATAGACCATGAAGCCATGAACCCTGAACCTGACCCCACCCCCCTAGAACTAAACCCTAGAACTAAATCCTGAACCCTAACAACTAACCGCTGGCCCATGATCCATGCCCCCTAATCGTAAGACTAAGACCTGAACCGTAACCCAAACCCCTAAACCCAGAAAACTATCGCTGGACCCTGAACCCTAGACCTTCAAACCTAAGCCCTAACCACAAAACCTAAACCTAAACCCTGAACCATGGCCATTAGAACATGACGCCTAGGCCCCTAAACCCTGAGCCCCAGCCCCTAAACCCGAATCCCTAAGCCTAAACCCTGATCCCTGAATCGTGACCCCAAAACCCTGACCCCTAAGCCCCGAACCCTAAAACCTAAGCCCTAGACGCTGGACACTGAACCCTGAACTTTAACCCCTAAATCCTAAACCCTGAACCCTGAACAGTAGCCCCCGGAACCTGACCCCTGGACCCACAACCCTAGACCATGAGCCCTCAACCCTGAACCCTAAACACTAACCATGAACCCTAAACCTAAAACCTGAACCCTAAACCTGAACCCTAAACCTGAACCATAAACAGTAAAACTGAACCATAGGGACCTAAAGCCTGAACCGTATCCACTAAACCCTAAACCATGAGACCTAAACCTGGAACATGATCCATAAAAATCAACCCTAACACCTGAAGCCCCAAAAGTAGCCCCTGACCCCTAGAGACCAGACCCTGAACCCTAACCCCCGAAACCTAAGCCCTAAACCCTAAACCCTAATCCTTGAAGACTGAGGCTGACCGCTAAAACTAGAAACCTGACCATTGAAACCTGAAACCTGAACCATCCTCCAACAACCCAAGGCATAACCCCCAACCCCTAAACCTAAACCTTGAACCATAAGTCCTGACCCTAACCGTAATCCCTGAACCCCATCCCCCCCCTCCCACTGAACCTGACCCCTAAACCGACCCCCCTGAACCCTGAACCTGAAAACTAAAGCCCAAACCACAAACTATGACGCCCGAAGATTAAAATATAAAACCCATACCTAAACCACATAACTGAACCCTAGGACACGCCGTAATTTCCTGAACCTCCCCTCCTAACAACTCGAGTTTCGCCTCCGGAATTTCGGAATTTCACCCTAAGATGTCAGTCATAGAGATTAATACTTAGGCAGAGAACCCTCAGGTTAAAAATTCTGAGAGATTAATTCAGCTCCTAAACCTGAGACTAATTCCTAGAAGAAGAGCTAAGCTCATCGTCTTTAGCAGCTACCCGCAAATTCCGGAGCATGTATTACTAAAAGATTACTTTGAAGTAACAAGTAACTACCTGATGAAACCAGATAACTACTTCACCATTGATTGGTCAAGGAACAGTCAAGAGAGACAAAATAAAGTCACAATTGTCCCCTCCCAGTGTCCCATAGTTTCGCATCAATCGGCCTGTTCATTCCACTCCTTCCCTTTGTGGTTGGGCCAATATAGATTTCTCCCCTGAAACCCTCTCCATGAGGATCATAACATCACCAGGGGAGCTACACCCCGTCCTGGATACTTCCTCTGGAGCATCCTGGGGGGGGTATCCATCATTCGCACCCCCATCCATTCCACCATGTTCCGCAGGCTCCACGGGCTTCTATCTTCTCCAGTTTCCCCTGGGAGGTAAACTCCCATATCCTACTAGGTGTCTTTTGTCCGTAGATCCCCTCATGCCTACACATGACTTGAAGGAACCTATCCGCCAGAAGCCATAGAGACCTATACTCGCAAACATGACGGCTATAACACCTCCTCCTAGGACGCCTGAATACCCTCCCCAGGAGGGGTCCAGCCGAGGTTCACCCGCCTGGAGACTTGGCCTTGCTGTCTTTACCCTCACTAATCCGGAGGGAGAGGGGTCATCACTAGGCAAAGCAATTTGACCATTATGGTCCCCCCCCTTAGGCCTCATTTCGTCGAGATATATTCTCTCTGACCTCTCACTATCTGCGTTTATTTCTTCTTGTGACTTCCGATTGGGGCTTCTTCCGTCAGTTGGGGCAAGGTTCTGCGATGCTTTGGGACTATGGAGATTAGCATCGCCCAAGTTAATGAGACTCATGGAATGCCCCCCTACCTCTGGTTCCGTGGGACTCGTTTGAGTGGTTCTTGGGTCAGTCGCCGCGGATTTCTGGTCTACTACTCCTGATTTTGCCTCCTCATCGTTTAAGACTGCTTTTGATTTTCCTGCCCCAGGTTCTCCACAAGTTCCTGACTTAACTCCCTCTAGGTCCCTATATATCAGATAGTTCGTCCTTCCGCTGAGGTGCTGTAATCCTGCTCCACACTCTAATGTCCCCTTGTCGAATATACAATATAAAGCCTGCTTCCTACCTGACGCGCTGTCCTGTGATTCTACCAATTGACTTAACTCATAGGGACCACAGGTCTGGCAGAGTTTACTTATTCCCCCATAGATACTCAATATTAGACCTATCTTCCCCTGTATCTCATCGTTAGGTGCTACCGGCGACTCGGTCGTTTGTCGTGGGAGCAATTTTTCTCCAAGTGTTTCTAAGAGCCAGGAGTCCCATAAACATTTCGGCATCTCGATTTCCTGCAAGAGATCCTGACAAACGGGCGGGAGCATTTTGCTTAAATTAGGGTTGCCTGTCATGGTCTGACCCCAGATATTTACCAGGCAGATAAGTAGGCCCATCCACTCGGGTGAATGTGCGGAGCCTTGGCAGAGCTTCCTTGAGAGTATGTCCCGCCAATCGAGGGAGGCTCCCTTAATCTTATCATTCGAAGGATCAACTGTCCCTTCCGGCTCATATGTGAAGGTTGTGAGGGGTTCCATAGCCTGTAGGACATTGTTGACTAAATCTTCCCAGGTGATGCTCCCCAGATTTCTCCCCTCATCCTCGCATCCTCCTATTACATCCTGATTCCTGAACTGTTGGTATAAGGTCCTGAGATCCTCCTTTTTCAGATTGGTAACGAACTTCTCTAACCAGTAGACCCTGCTTGTAGACTCGTTTATAGACTGTTGCTCTCGCCGGTCATGTCCTTTTTGTAGTTGTTCGCAGTAAGTGCCTATGTCGTGGACTGCTGCCCCTAACCATACTGCATCCTTCCATCTACAGACCTCCATTGGCTTGTCACTTGGGCTAGGTTCGCTCTTAATTGTCCTTCGCTCTAGCCTCATGAGGATGATAAATTACATCCTTCAAATGTACCTCCCTCGACTCTTCTCTCCTTTTGGGCCTGATGTTCGGCTGTTTGTTTCCCTTGGGCAAGTTTTGGCTCCTTCCCTGCTTCCGTGCCTTGTTCATTCCTCCCTGATTTACAGGATGCCTCGGCACCTTACAGTGAATCTTCCTCCTCCCCTAAATGCGTGGTGCTATTAAGATTTGGGTTTTGGCCTAGACGTTTCTTCCTTCTCCTCTTCTCCAAACTTCCCTTCTTAACTTTGTGTGCTTGGGATGTAACTGAACGTCCCTCGCGTTGACTTCTGGGGATGCCCTCCCCCGTTTTATATCCCCCTCTCTTAGATCTCCTAAGGCCAACCTATCTTAATCTCCGCGTCTCCTGCTTCCCCCTCCTCATATTCTACTGGTCCCTCCTCTTAATGGTGGCTTAGTCGTCTCCTATCTCTCTTCGGATTCGTCCCTCCCCCTGACCACTCCATGAAGGTCCCGCAGAGCACTCCTTTTCCCCTCCACTTCCTTTGCTCTCCAGCTACCCCGAAACAGCTTCCTTCACGTGCTGGAGGGGCCGCGTCGTCTGCCTGTCGGTCTGCGCTCTGCTACCACTGACTGTTCCATCCTTTAGATAAGGCTGTCCTTGTTCTAATTCTTGGGCATCTGGCTATAGAATCAGGCTCGCTCCCTCTAAGCGAGTCACGCTTCCATAAGACATCCTCCATGTGGTCCTCCTCATGTTGTTGCTTACCCTTGAGATCTAATTCCCTCCTTCAGTCTGAGGCTTCTTTCCAATGGTCCTTTGCTTCTCCTTTACAAGATTTCCTGCCTTTGGGGCTCCTCGCTTAAATTCAGATTGCGTCTTTCCCTTTTGGTTCTGACTACTCAGGAGGTTCACTACTCTTTGGCCGTGCTTTTCCACACCTCATGTATTCATTTAATCGCGCCCTTCTTTCCCGGCTTCTTATCAAGTCCCTTGGATACTGATTGACTTTTCGATGGAATCCCTTTCCCCACTCCTCCCTTTATCACTCCCCCGTCTTTCGGTCAGCCTCTCCTCTTCCTGGGGATTATTATCGAATCTTCCGTATCTGTCAGCCTCCCATCCTCTACCTCCTTCCGACCCTCCCTGTCCCCAGTTTCATCCCTTCCCTTTTGGTTATCTGCTCCTGCGGCGTGTCCTATCCTTTTTGCCTCTCCTGACATATTTTCTCATCCTTACCTCGTTCTTGTCCTGGAATGTTTTAGATCCACCTCCTTCCTTCTCCATCTGTTGCTTCATCCTGCTCAATCCTCCTTTAATTTGTTTCGTTCCTTCTGGTTCGTCTTTCGGGGGGGCCCCTGCAGATATCCTCCTGAATTAGCTCCTCTGAATCACCAGTCATGCCCCTTCTGTCCTCTTTCGGACGGGATGATTCTCATGTTCCTTCACTTCCTTTGTCAGTCTCCTGAACTCGTCTTCCTTTTCCTTCCCTATCTACAGTCCCCGGGAGCTCCCTAATTTTTCCAGGAACTTCGCCTAGTTGAGAGTCCTAACCCAGCCCCACTCCGACAGTTCACTCTCTCCTTCTTCGGTATTTACTATTCCCTCCTTTGGGATCGCATATACGTCCCATGACTTCCTTAGTCGTCCAGTCTCGCACTCGCTCCGATATTCAGCAGATCTGTCGCTCCTCTTTCTCCTTACTCCCATTGATCTTCTCTCGCCAAAGCCCCTCTTCCCTGAGGGTCCATGAGAAGTTGCCGGTGCTGAATTCCCCTACTCTTGCTCTTTTGCAGTTTCCTTCCCTTTGTGTTTTCCTAGGCCTGTTCTTGCCCCCTCTCCTCTGAACTAAGGGAGAGACTAACCCTTCCTGCTGGTCCTTCCTTTAACTCCCTAAGCCTTCCTTGTATCGGCTGCCTACTTCTTCTGGATTGTTTATTCTTTCTCTGTTGCTGCGGGGAGTTGATTTGGCTTCTGAAGCTTCCTATCCTCGCCGTATTCACCCCCCCTCGTCGTCTCCATCTATTCTAGATCCTGGTCGTTCGGCAGATCTGTCGACTCTATCTGGTTTGAAACTCCCTCCGTTTTTTCGTATGCTTGTCATTCGCCATGTTGTTCCACTTTCCGCTCAGTCAGTCACCCTCCCTAGCTTTCTCTTTCGGTTGGGGTTCCGCGCCAGATGCCCCCCTAGTTTCCCACTCGCTCTTGGTTTTCGACTCAGTCCTCTTATCCTAGTTATTCCCTCCTTCGATTTTCCTCTATTGTCGCTATCGACTCTGGAGCGCCCCGCTCCCGTTTCTGCCGATATTATCCTGAGGGATTAGTCATAATTCGTTCCCTCGATTTCGTGGCGTCATGCAGAGACTCGGCCTCTTTTCTCCTCATCCGATACTAGGCTGGATTCGTTGTTTTACCTTATTCCTGGGGTCGCTCGATTTTATTGATACTCGAAAGACCCCTCTTGGGTCGAGAAATGGCCCCCCAATGCCTTGACCTACCTCTTGGCCGGACTTTGTTTTACCCCTCTACTACTCTTAGGGACTTTTTGGATTGTTGATACTTTATTTTAGACAGGAACGGTGTTCTCTTTTCCCCCTAAGGCCTCATCGTCTATGTTCTCCCTTCTCGTAGCCAATGCTCATCGAAGTTGTCAGCCGCTCCCCCTTGCCTGCTTAGGATCTGGGGGGTCCCTTTACGGCTTTAGACGGGGAGGGTGCGATAGCTTCCCTTTATCTCACGCCTCTATGGTTTTTGCTCCAGTTACTCGTTGTCTATGGTACCACCCTCTCCTATCGATGGAGATCAGCGGATCCCTGGGTTCCTCTCCGGACTTCCTCCTAATTTGAACTCCCTGGCCCAATGTTTCTAGATGATCCCTCTCTTCGGATTTAGGAATCAGGTTGCGGCCTTGAGGTTAAGGCTGTTGTTTTTGTATGGCTCTGTGGTTTAGTCCCCTGCTGAGGTGTGGATTTTCCTGTACCTGCCTTGGGCCGTTGGTCTTTTGCGCCCTGATAGGAGTGGGATTTCCGTGGGTTGGATTCTCGGTGCTATTCGTTCCTAATACTTCGGTGTTGATTCGGATATTTCTTGGATCCTCCTCAGGCTGCATATTTCTTTCCTTTCTGTTCTAGACCGCTAGGATTTGGGACTGTCTTTTGGAGTCCGGTGGACTTTATCAATTGATATATCATTTATAGCGAGTGGCGACGTGTATCTTTTCTTATCTTTACTACCCTCTTGTGCCCATATGGTCATTATTTGGGGGGAGTCGCCTTGGGGTTTCTTTCTTAGTCCTCTGTTGAGTCGTTGGAGGGTTCCCTTTTGGGATTATACGATCCTTCAACCTGATTCTTCCGGTGTTGGAGGTTCCTTAGGGGCTCTTTTTTGAGTCAGCGGCTGTTGGAGCTTCGTTTGCTAATTGAATTTCTCCGTGAACCTTTTTACGAAATTATGACTTCCGAGCTCCTTGACCAATTCCTGGCACTTAGTCCTAAGGGAGTTTGTTTTGATTTTTGTCCTTCTGGAAGAGTTCTTATATATCTTTGGTACTTCCGGAGTGTTGTAGTATTGAGGAATTTCTATCTGGCCCTTTCCTCTCGTTGGGGGGAGGAATATAGAGACTTGGGGGTCTAAATGTGTTTCCCGCCTGATTTCTGCTTGGGTTTGCTTGGGGATTCTTCCATTTGACCCTATTATTTGATTTCTTTCTTCATCCTCGGCTATGCCTAACCGTTATCATACGCCTGCTTCTTTTTGTTGCTCTTGGGATTAGACTACCCACCTCTTTGTGGGAGCCTGTTCCTAGTCGCTATTTACTCTATTAGAACTTCGAGGATAATGGATGAATCTTCAGGTTTTTATTACCTTCGGGATTTTTATCTTTCAATTTTTTTGAGATCGAAGGGGGATTGGTGCTGTGGTCGGATGTCACTGGGGTTCATGGGTCCTTTTTTCGGGTTGTTACCTTAATAGGAATATTGCTTGGAGTCTGCTCTTTTATCTCTTCGGCTTTCTTGGGGTTAGTTGATAGTTTTTTTTGTTGCACTCAGGGTCTTGACATGTCCGGGTTAGGAGGTTCCTTCAGTTGACTACTCTACTCTTGAGACTTGGTTTTGTTTTGAGTGAGGCGCCTTGGGGCTTCTGTTTATCTTCTGTTTTTCGTTCTATTTGAATTACCCAATCTTTGCCCAGGTGGAGGGCTTAATTGCTGATTCTGCCCTTAGCTTGTGTTTCTTTTTCGATATTCCTCCTGTGCCTGGTGTTTAGTCAGATCGTTCAATCTGGTAATCCAGGTTGGTAATTTCTGTTGACTTTTATATCCTGGAGACTAAGGTCCTTATTCCTTTCTTTTCCTTTTTTTCTCGGGAGGGTAGTCTATTCAGTCAGCTTTAGACGTCATTACTGATTTATGTGCTCCTCTAATTTTATTGGAGTTGCTGCTAGTTATCACTTTGCTCATTATTGTTGACAAATATGGCTGGAGTTATTCTTTACTTTGGTTGACTCGGCTGTAATTTTCCCAGGGGCTCCTTCGGTATTTGTTTCCCTTTTCTTTGGGGGATATTAGTTTCGGATATTGCGCCTCTGGGTTTGGGTTTCTCTTCTTTGATTTCCTTTATTTCTTTTCTGGATGAGGGGGAGAGGGGCGTGCGTTGGAGTGAGATATTAATTCTTCTTCTATTGTGAGACGGGATTCTTTTACTGTGGGGGTATTTGTAAGACACTACTGTTGGGTTGTTCCTTTTGATTATGAACATTAAATTTATGCTAGATCCTATAATTATTAACTTGCTTTTAACCTGATCTCACTTTTTCCGTCCTCAAGAGAGGCTACTTGTGTTGTATATGGGGGGAATTATATATCATTCCACTTACTGTTGAAACTCGTCTAATAAGGTGGGAGTTATAATTTCATGTTCGACCATCTGGTATCACATATTTGCAGAATCTTTATATTTGGTCATCTTGTTTTGAGGGCTGAGGGCGGGTTTCCTAGTCCTAGAGATGTCTAATTTTCCGATAGTCAGATATCTGACACTATTAAGATTATAACGAAAAACTCCTATTTAGTAGGCTTGGGGTGGGGATTTTGCTATGAGTATACTTGACCTGTCTACTATGTGTAGTTATGAACAGACTAAATACTTAGGATAGATAATATATCACCTTGTGATTTTCTTAATTGGTCAGTTACTTGGCTCCAATAGGGGACTTGGGTTGATATTATTTACCCTTCATTATTCCCCTTTCCTTTGTGGAGTTGGAGGAATATATACATTCTTTACCTTCTTGATAGTTCATTGAGTCTAAGACTTTTTCCCCCATTATCCTGTTCTGGACGCCTTGTTTAAATAAGAATCCTTAACCAGGTTATTGACTTCTTCGTATTGTCTTTTTCCATTATATTTAATATTATGATATATTTGACGTAGTCTGGCTATCTCGTAGTTGAATATTTCTCTACTCAGACACGCTGGTGATGAGTATAAAACGGCCTGGTTATTCTTCTTGCTTTTTGCCTATTCGTATTATAATATCGAGAATATTCCACTTGGATATCATCTTCGTCTAGGTCTCTTGTATTTTTCGTCTAACGCTTAATACTATATAGTTTAATTCATAGTTTCCTTGATTATTGGTACTATAATTTCGACTCTTCACTTGCGAAGGACCTTATTCTCTTGGACCTCTTGCACTTTTGAATTCTGTTTGATTTAATAATCAGTCGTTAATATGAGAAATAATATAAGATATCTTCAGCTTCTTGTTATAGAGGTAATAATCATCCTGTTGTTCCTAAATTGCATTCATTGATATCTAGCAGTTATGGAATAGATATATTTATCACAAACCCTTAATATAGTATAAGATTAGGCAAAGGAACTATACAGACTAGTTAATATATAAGGTGAAGTGACTGCTGTACACCGGCTGTAAAAACTATTTAACTATTAGAACCTTTGTTCTTAAGTTTTGCTCTATTGCTTCTGTTTAATTATATTTTGAAAACGTAACATATTCAATAAAGAACCTACAATTTCCCAGGTGTAGAGGTAGTTTCTTCTCTTGGTTCTCCAGTAATTCTCAATATATGAACATTTTTTTAGCAGTACGTCTTATCTATTTCAGAGACTTCATAATTACTACGGTATTATCTACTTAATTTTATCAGTTTCCACACAATCGTATCTAGGGAATATTTAACATTAATATTCTCTGTAGATATGTGTATAAATAACCTATGGACTGCTCACATCAGTTAACATTATTATGCTTCCTTCAATATATACATCATGAGAAAGCTAAAGTTTAATTCACTATAAGGTTGACACAAGAAGGTTATATATAAGAAGATTCACATGGTTCAGTCCATTAATAACGAATAAATATACATAGGGAATAAAGAAGTCTCTTATAGATTCCCTAATAATCTATAAGACTTGTCGTAGAAACCCCTTTGGTTAGGGGTCCCCTCTGATTATAGATTAGTGTGACATTGGTAAAATCATTAATCTAACTACATGACTTTCCTTAGCTTCCTTTAGGTGGTTTATACACTCATTATTGGAGAATTAAGCGATAGGATGATACGATATTGATAATATTCTTTTCTTTATTTAACAATTTCATAATTTTATTAAATAATGAGCTACATTTGGTTTGTATCATATTTAATCTCATGACGATAAAGTAATGCTTTGATTATTGTATCATATAATCCTCTTTTGTTGGGGTCCAAAGTTCTCTATCATTGCCCTTATAAATAAATTCTGTCACTATATAAGAGATATAGGAATATAAACACTTATACACAAGTAATTATATTATTTATAATGACGCCATTCCTCAATACGGATTCGGTTCTAGCAAACATATCAGGTTTATTTTGTTCACTGTTTAAAAGGAGGATATATAATTCTAGATATGCCCTCCTTGGACTTCAGTACCTGAAATATTACCCAAAATACATAAGTGAATAAGAGAATAATGGGAAATAACACAAATTGTGACTATACCTATCATAGTATTCACTTTTCCTGTAATATTAGCTTCTGTTTTGCAATGAATTTTAAAGGAAGAGACAAGCAGTGATCAACATACTCATTAGTAGACTGTTAAAAGTTTAAATCACGCAAGCACAGGTAGCATAAAGATGAAAGAGGAGAATAATCATCTTCTAACACGTGAAGAAAATAGGAGACTTATATGCCTCAGTAAGATGTTTACATTGCTGTTTCAGCTTAAGCCATAAATACGTGACGTATTAAAGGTATGAAATATTCTTTATGATTATAAATTTTCGATAAAGAAGAATATTGTCAATACGTTAATCACACCCTGGACGGCTCAATCCTTGAAGGCATATATCTTATAATAATGGCAACATATGAGCACGGCCGGCGCTGACGGTAAGTTCAAAGAATGGATAAGCTGGGGATATTGTACCATGGTACGCCGACAACTAAATATTCTCCTTCCTGCAGTGTTATTGATATATATAGTGGGACATTGAAGCTGAGCATACCAGAACGGAGGATATCTTGGGTGCGAGAGGTTAGAATACACCTGTCATGTACTGTCAAGTATAAGATAAGATCAAACACATGAAGCGTACGACAGAACGTCACCCGTATAGCTGTCAGCAATGCGCATGAATACGAAAGTCGAGTCCACTTATCTCTCATCTTGAAATTTTGCAGTTCACGGGGATATGACTAATTGCATATTGTATCGTTTAATGACATCCTTATGTTGCCGAAATGTAACAATCAATTCGGAATTATAATGAAAGCCACCTATTTGCACATAGATTGCAGTGGAAGCGCAGTACTCCTTGATGGAAACCTTTAATTTAAGTTAATATATCTGTGATTGCCGAATAAATTCAGTCAAATTGGAAGGTCATTTGCCAATAATTCTTTAAAATAACGTAGAATCAAGTCACATTAGAATTCTTGCACCTGTGCTAAAGGTATCTTGACTTCTGCAAATGTGTTCTTTTTTTTGTGCACCTATTTGATGGTGCGCTCAAAGTTTATGTGTAGAATTTGCAGGTTGATATTTTTATGTACAATCCCTTTCTCCTCTCTCTTTACCTTTTTCTTTAAGGTTCCTTTCAGGTAGGAATATTTCTTAATTTCTTCTTCTTTCATTCTAAGTCAAAGCCGTCCCTGCCAAAATTATATATAATCTTGTCCTTGTTTCGCATTTTTCTTTAACAAGGTGGGTTACGCGCGATTGGTAAATCATGAACCGTGGAATTATATATAACACTCAGCCGCAACTTATCCACACATTACATGAGTAAAAGCGCGGTTTACTGGATTCATTCATTCTCAATGAGTCTTCCTACTGCCAAAATAGTTCTATATATAAAAAGGTGGAGGACTTCTCAAAATTAAGAGGTTATTCTCATAGTCACTTGGCTCATAATCTGCAAAGGAATAGAAAAAAGTAAAATCAAGGTGATATCAGTAATTGGATCCAAAGAATTGGAATCCTCATATTCTATATCATGGCAACAGAGAATATACAGGTAACAGCACAACCCTTATGCCAGACCTTTGAATAGTAGTGACCCATGCAGTCAACATAAATATCTTATGATTATGATTCTAGATACAACAAAAAGGGACACCTTTACACTAAGCGTAGACACAGAAAATGTTGGAACTCTCCCAAAATCTACCTCAGAAAGTGTCTTATATCTTTACAAGAAGAAAAATGGTTTTAAGAAAGCTTCTAAAACTTCAAAGAGGAAATAAATCTATTTTAAACAATTATATATTTCCATGTATAAAATCAAAAATGGTATCATAGGATATTACATCCTATGGTAACAAATAAAATTGTACAGTTTGTAATTCAAGAAATAACGCTCAATACAAACAGCAAAGAATTTAGAACACCAATTAATATAGGTAAGAAATTTCGTACTTATATATCTTTCCCCCTAACTTGGAATAATGGCGTGTATTTTGACACACGAAGGTTTGCAATCAACTCCTCTCTTGTTTGATGCGGTATTGGGCCCGGTGAATATCCCACCTCATATGTTACTGTAGGTGTTCTCTTTCCTGTCCATGTTCAATGTTTCTGGGGTGATTCCTTCTCCGTCAACATTGCTTCAGGTACTCTTATTTGTTAAGTTAGCTCTTTCCCTTTGGTTCTAGTGTGCTATTCCTCCTTCCCATGTTTGGCTGCTACCTCCTAACCATGTTTCTTGATATTTTTAAGTCCTTTATACGGTTTTACCCTATATATTTATTTTTCCTCTGAAATGGAGAATTCTGCTCAATGTCGAAGTACCGTCAATGTATAGACTCTACTTTGGGAATTTCTTCCACCTCACTTTTTTCTTTTCGCCTCCCTGAAAGGATAAGTGGTTTGTATGTTAGGCATATTCGTATCCTCTTGTCAAAGATATCCTGGTAACATTAATGTTATGGACACCAATGATATTCTAGGGAGGACAGTACTCTGCATATAATACTACTTTTAGGATACCGCTTTTCCAAAAAGAATGCTACTGCAGATACATCAAAGGACTTCCTAAAACTGTTATGTCATTATATTACAGCCGGGATTCTAACCCTTTAAATGATA